AAGTCAAACAGAACCGCCACAAAAGATCGATTCCAGTGCACATTTCTAGGCATGACTTGTCTCAGTGTCATGACCACTTCTCACTACCGTAATATGTTTATTAATCACTGGTCTTATAGACTTGAGGCTTGGTTATTTTTAGATTTACTGATAATTGACAAAAAACAATCCAAATGAACATTTTTAAAATTAATCATTATTGTAATGATAATGCGGATCCTTGTCCAGACCTTTATGGTCGACCTGTTTTCATAGGTCAGGTTCAGAGCGCTATAACCAAAACGACGTCTGATATTTTGGTACAAGATTTGTAATTTTCTCGTGATATAACAATGTGCGTAATTCAAGTGTCAATTCGGAAGCCTCGATCTACAAACATATTTAGAAACAGGAGTACGGAAACTTGTTATACAAGCATTTGTAAACATATGTGCTGCGGCTGAAAACAAGGACTTCTTCCAAGTAAAGACCACGACCTAAAGGGTTGAAACACCAATGTTTCTGTAGGCGTTCTCTCACAAGAAGTGAGGTTTTATTAATAGATCTTTTACGTCTTCGTTTGATTGGGCAATAAAAGTCAAAGTACCTAAAGCTATTTAGTGGGCGTTGTAGGGAAGGACAGTGTTTGCTTTGCAATTTAATTAAACGTCTCCGATGACAAAGCGTAATTAATGAAACTATCAACCGATCACTTTACATGGCGTCCGCTCCGGTGGTTGACAACTCAATTTCAGCGCCTCTCAACTCAGAGAGTGCACCAATGGTTTAATTTAACAATGCATTAAGTTTCAACCAACAATGGCCAAACAATTTCTTGTAATGCGACTAGTGTGTGTTGGTGACAATTTGATTTTTTGTAATAGATTAATTATTTCAATAATTTTCCATATTGGAATGCATGGTATGTTTAAATTGTGTAGCTTGCAGAAAAAAATTCCCCTGATAACGTGTTTTATTGATTTCTAGATAGACACAACGGTATATTTAAAACGTGATATCATTTCCAATCAATAATTTATTCAATTTTCGGTACTGCGGTGGGTGACCTGATTGTAATAGATTTTATCTTTCCATTATAGCTTTGCATTAACGTCGTCGCCGAAACGATGAGACAAATTGATAAGCATTTCACTTGTCATTTTACTAGTATTGTCACGAGAATTACCTTAATGGATGGATGTTTAAAACAATATCATTTGAACTAAATTTTTATATTAGTAGCTCTTTTGTGACTTTCCTGAATAAAATAAAACAACCTAATGTTGAGTAATGCTTAATTACACATAATACTATTCATGTGAAATACAATGTAATTGTTTCTTGGCATTTCCGTCAGACGAAGACTAAGACTAAACATTATAAAGTATGGAAAAATAAATATCTTTATGTAATTTAAATCGGAAGAAACCTAGAACACGTTGCTTATTACTTTTTAATGGGATAATTGTAAATTAAACAAATTATTATGTATTTATGATACATATTTTTATCTTGCAATAAATTCCAGTAACAGTATCGGAACCGTGGCAACCTGGTTAATGAACATTGCACGGCATTACCGTGTTTATTTGACCCAGTGATAAGTGCTATTTTCGTTTGCGCTCCATTTACCGGCCGGAAGCACTTGTAGATAGCGTTGCTGTTTCTTTAATTGCAACACAAGGTGCATACATTCAATCTGTGTTTTCCCGTATACTAGAAACTTTAAACAAACGTCATAAACGTGTGTTACCTGTCATCCTGTTTCATCTCAGTTTTTTTCAAGGGGAATGAAAAGGATGGCGGATTAGAATAGAATGGTTTTGTATCAGTGTTCTGCCAGTGGAAACGCACATCTCTTTTGTAATGATAATGTAGCTTTATTATGGACTGTTTGAAAGCGTACACATAATGAATGAATAAATGAATGTTCTAATAACATGCAGATGTCACGCAGTTACTGATGCGTATTTCTAATCTCCTCAAATATGTATAAATGTTAAGGCAAAAAGTAAAAACTTCCTATTATCCATGTTTTCCAATGAAGACGTTTAATTCAGAATACGGCTGCGAGCGGGTGTAGTGTGCGTCAATGAATTCCTTATCGTAATTCTTGCGAATCACAATCTAACATGCGATAAATCTGCGATTATCATAATATAATAATATCTTGGTCGTTCAAACACCATCTTCACGTACACATAAGTAAATATTCAGTCGGTCTTATAAATGTCTATTATTTATTTATAACAATGAAACTTACGATTACATATAAATTGTAATGAAAACTAAAAAAAATCGCATTATGTTAAAATCGTTTTGTTCCCGTAGATTGCGACTTTCTGGATTGGTTGAATAAATGTATACTGATTTATCATGTATTTTTACGTGATGTGTAATAATTATTTATATATTCATCAGATTGTATGTCCTAGCGGTCGTAGACCTTCCTGAAATATCGCCGGTATGATTAAGTTCTGAACCGAATGGAAAATATTTACTTTGGCAATATCGTTAGTTCTTTTCTACAAAATCGATATCAGAGGTCTTGTTCTTATATGACGCCATCGTAGAAAAGGTTTCTATTCCAAGTAACAAATTTTTCTATTATACAGGCCTTTAGTTTCTCCACAATATTGTTTGATATGTCATCATCTTCGTTTTAGCAAACTGTTTTGTATGACTCTACCATAGATCAGTGGGTATAATAAATGTTGTCTCTGTTGTTGATTTCTATATATATTTGGCGAAAACATTTCTATTTTTACAGCGAACTAAAACGTCGAAGTTAAATTACATGGCATGTTTGACAGTTCGTGATCTGGCTTTTCTCCAAACGGCTAGGCAAAGTTTGAACTTTCCAAAGTTAGTATAAACCACGAAGGTTAAATTTAATAATTAGAAATTTTGTTTTAAAACTGCGATGCAGTCGTCGTTTATAATTTAAATTTACTTATAATTTTCCAAACTTTAGCAATGCAGAATTTATACCAAAACTTTTTATGGTTTCTAGAATTTGTGAACGGCTTACTAAGTACCTAATAGAAGTTGCATAATATTACATGTAGGCACGATTAAAACTAACAACAATGTTATAGCTCATTATAATCTAGTCCACATAAATCTCATAAAACGAAAGCGCCCAAGAGAACTACACAACTTATTGTGTTACGTTACGTTAAAACACATTATTATGGATATCACTTGTAAGGTGAATGTCTTTCTCGTCTCGCCGCTAAGTGAAATTCCTAGAAATAAAACTTGCACCAATCAAGTTTCTACGTAAACAACTCTATTGTTAAGTTTATATTGCGAATGACTCAGCTTATTGCCCATTCCGGCTACACGCGGGGATAACCGCCTTACTAGAAATGTAAAAATACAGTTATTTTATGTAAATAGGGGCATAAACATTTCTTTAGTCGTACTATGAAAGGGGAAATGTATTTGTACAGTGGTTATTTCATTATAAAGTGTGTTACTACCTCGAAAGCTTCCTGCTATTAGCCTTGGATAAAGCTCACATTGTTTGTGTATAGCAAAATCTCAAGGCGACCAGCTTTTAAATGTTACACGTAGTGTTTGCCTAGAACTAGCGACCTATATTTCACTTTCAATATGTACAACAAACCGTTTGTTCCCGATACCGTAGCTCGGGAATATTTAGCTTTCTAATGGAAATAGTAAAATAAATAAACTTGTTCCATACTTGTATCACATTAGCATTATAATTTGCACCAATCTCGTGAAAATGTTGACAAGTCCAAGGCGAAAAAATATTTATTTGAATAATGAATAAATTTCGCCACCATTTGCGACTGATAATCATCAAAATTTCAACCCATTATAAAAACCCTGATAAAATAATGTAAAAGTCGTACGTATAGTGAATTCATGTGAAAATAATCAAATACAGCTGTCCAAACAAGCATGTCGAAATACTAATACGTCCATGAGTATTGCACGTCATTGTACAGTCGGCAAGTGAACATGTTCCGTGCGCGGACTCTACACGTGATTCACGCCTTATCGCAAAACTACGCGAGCCAACCTCGCCACTCGCCACAAGAGCTTTGCCCGGAACTGCCTCTTTCAGTACGGTAAATAAGTGCAACACTAAGGTGACAATCAATTAAGATTTTTCAGAATGTCACATGGATTTTTTCCATTAAAAACTGCGACTAGGATTACAATCTTAGTACAATAACTATAGCTATAATATCACTGTAGTATAAAACGTAAGGATGGATAGTTTTTGATTTAAAAACGAACCAAACACACATATTATGTAGGAAAATAAAACCCAATATGGAAAAATTCAGAATAAATTACAATGTTGTCACCCTAGCACAGTGAAAGTATTGGTTCCATCGTACGGATCACTTTCTTTTATCGAATCTTGCTTAATCTTTTACCTGTTGCGTCGACCGCTAACTGTTCCGGCCGTTGAGACTGGCGCGATAACATCGTGTTTATGTGTTAACAAGTTAGTGACTGAATGAATGCTTATTATGGTTTTATAAGCCAAGATTCCTAAGCAGAATAAACAAAGCTTAAATTGATTTAAACGGTTAACTCTATAAAGGACTAGAGTCTACAACTTTGCAGAATGTAACTCGAATTATATTAGTTATTGTAGTGAAATGCAAATCAATGTCAATACTTTAGTTTGAAATTAAATAAAACTTATTAAATGTAACGATACGGATATGTATGAATCACTTTGGTGAACATTAACATGCAATGACATTATTGAATAGGACATAATTACTCACGTCGTTATACAATAAGATAAATATTGTTTTGTATAATTTTGTTTGAACTGTTCAAACAAAGCTATACTAATAACAACAATACTGATACAATTATCTATTACTATACTTTAAAACTCTTTCATGCATGAAAACAATGTTATGGCATTACTTTTGCTCAAAGACAAAGACTAAAACAATCATTGTAACTAGACATCAACTAACATCTTTGCATACGACATAAACTAATTTGTTATCCTTTTCCCACAGATCAGTAGAGCGGTATGTGCGAGTGAAATGGAAAGAGGTGCGGGTTGGCGACCTGGTGCATCTGTCGAACAACGAGGCGGTGCCGGCGGACATGGTGCTGCTGCACTGCTCCAACCCCGCCGGCGTCTGCTACCTCGACACTTGCAACCTGGACGGCGAGACCAACCTCAAGCAGCGCATCGTCGCACCTGGATACAGGGAAAAGGTGAGATACAAATTGCTCACTACATAGGAATAAACGGATACTGTATTGTACATAGGTATCGGAACTGTTGTCTGTACAAACGTAGACAAATTATGGGTCTGTACTATTTCAACTATTATAAAAACGTTGATAAATACAAAACCCCTAGCATTAATCATTAGATTTTATCAGTAAAATAAAAGTGTACGTTAATAAAATTTACCCACAATTTTGTTTAAAGATCCTTATTTAAAAATGTGCGTTGACTAGGTTTATAGTTCTGTAGTTGCATGGGAATTGTGTCTGCGCGATGTCGACGTCAAGTGACCGTAAACAAGTCTATTGTCCGACTTGGAGCTCACAGACTAGATGACCACTGGACCGTTCATCTTAAATTACTAAATTTACGTTCAACGTCTTTTTATCTGTTTTCATAGTTGAACTTTATTGTATTTACATGGTAATATTCAATATATTCGAGTAATTATTGATCATAATTAAGCTTCTCTTTTACTTTTCAACATAAAAGTTATTGAAACATTGAACATTTAGTATTTATCCATAACATTTCAAAACCTTGGCTGAGGTGCTCTGTGCACTCATAAATTAAGCTCCACCCTAGTATTCTTGTCATATCGATCCAGTTAATCCAGTAATGGCCTCAAAGATTATTTTTAACTCGGCTGTAAATAGGAGCCAGTCTTCCGTAACGAAATTTAAACTTATTGAATTTTATTTCCAGCATAAAGACTTCTGCCCTCTGAAATTCAGAAGTACAGTTGAAGTAGAACGACCGTCGACCAAAATATACAGATTTACCGGAACGATTTCACATCCTAACGGAATTCGAGTCCCGCTTAATTCAGAGAACCTATTACTAAGAGAGTGCACTATTAAAAATACAGACT